GTACGTTTACATACGATGGAAAAGGTTCAGAAGGAAGGCAGATAGATTCCGCATGAATTGTCCGAAGACAATAAAAATCGTCAGCGTGACACTGCACTCACTTTGCTTTCAAAGTTCCGGAAAAAAGATTTTCTGCACAAAATCATTACAGGCGATGAAAAGTGGAAAAGTGGAAAAGTTCTTTATGATAACCCTAAACGTAGAAAATCATGGGTTGATTCTGGTCAACCTTCGACATCGACATCAAAGCCCAATATTTACGCCAAGAAGGTTTTGCTCTGTATCTGGTGGGATTGGAAAGGTGTGTTGTATTGCGAGTTGTTACAATCGAGTGAAACAATCACGGCAGACCGCTACCAACAACAATTGACCAATTTGAGCGATGCATTAGAAGAAAAGAGGCCATTTACTGGCCAAGGACGTCGTAAAGTGATCTTGCTTCATGACAATGCTCGACCACATGTTGCGAAAGCGATTCAGGACCATATCTTTGCGTTAGGCTGGGAACTTCTCCCGCACGCGGCGTATAGTCCAGACATGGCGCCTTCCGATTACTACCTTCCGGTACTACATTCCGGTCGCTGCAGCATTTGGCTGATACACATTTCGTGAGATTTGAAGAGATACGAAAATGCATTGATGATTTTATCGCTTCGAAACCGGTGAGTTTCTATCGTCAAGGAATTCGCAAGCTACCCGAAAGATGGCAAAAGGTCGTTGATGCAAACGGGGAATATTTCGCTGATTAATATTTTTTTGCTTGTTTTTGAATAAAAATTGAATTTTACAAAAAAAAAGCTCAGAATTTTTTTGTACACTTAATATATTATTACACGTTACTTTGTAATAAAGCAAAATGTAATAATATGCTTGTAATTATTAATGTCTACTATTTCTTTGCTATTATAATATAATAATTCTGCTACTAGATTTATCTGAAGAATTCACTGTAAGCAAAAATACGTATAACTCTTTGACAAGATATAAGAAAATATCTTTTTATTTATTTTTTACAATAAAACCATGTTTTTCACATAATTACCAATTCTCTTTTGTTAAAAAATTTTCCAAAAAATTATAATAATAAACATTTAATAAGTATTTAAAAATATGAGCCAAAATAATAAGATGCAAAAACGTCAAATTTTCTAAAATTTTAGAAATTTTTATTTTAGTAATTATCCATATTCTATAAATTGAAATATTTGAAATATTTGAAATATTAATATTAATTACGTGCTCTTTTGCTAAAAGTTATGAAAACAGGAGGAAGCTGTGCATCGCTATTCTCGCTGATATAATACAGTTCTTAATATAAACAAGTGTTTGTGGATATATCCTTAGTAGAATCATACAAATGACCCAAAAAACTAAATTAATATTTACACATTAATATTTATACAAATTAATTGTTTCTCTTTGTTTTTTTGATTCTTTATTTATTATACACAATTTTATACATAAACATTCTATAGTTTACAGTATAGAAATTTGCTTTTGCAAATTAAAACATATATTTGATTTTTTGTGAAATAAATCTATTGAAAAAAATCATTTAAAACATATATGAAATATTTCATGGATGATATGGAAAGCTATTATCAAAACTTTAATTATTATGAGTTATTGTTAGAACTATTTTTATATGAAATGTATACAGAATGTTTTGTTTTAAATGTAATAGGTCAAATATCTCAAAAAATATGAAAGATGTGAAAAAATGTTTTAGACAAAAGCTTTAGCTTCGAAAGGAAAAAATGATAACGTTATTAATTAAATTGTAAATAGTGTTCTACTTTCGAAATTTTGTTATGGCCATTATTTTTTAAATGGTATCATTTATTTTTTGTATGCAATATGATTCCTCTAGTTCTTTCGAAAATAAAAATATTAAAATACAAATATGAAAAGTTAATAGTTTACGAGATATTTCATATTTTATTCTGTCATATTTTGATGTAAAAAAATAAATATTTTGTAAACTAATCATTTTCTGGTAAATGTATCTTAATACTTGTGCACAGAACAATGAGATAACTTAATTGATATAAAGAAAACACATAGTTGTTTTCCAAAAAAGTTATGCATTTTGCAGTTTGCAACTACCTAAATTTTTTTGAAAAGCACTGGTATTTTCTTTACACCATTTGATTTATCTCATTATTCTGCAGAAAAATATTAAGATACGTTTACCAAAAAATGATTAATTTATTTTATGTTTTATGTCAAAATACGACGGAAAAAGGCAAAATATCTCGTAAATTAGTAATTTTTTGATTTGTGCCTTAATATTATATATATAATATTTTTATATCCAGAATAACTAGAGGAATCGTATTGCATAACAAAAAGTATGATTCTATTTGAAAGAATGACAATTATCTCGAAAATCTTGAAAGTGGCACTATTTATGATGAAATTGATAATGTTATCATCTTTCCTCCTCGAAGATATAAAATTTTTATCTGAAATGTTTTTTCATATTTTTTCCATATTTTTTGAGATATTTGACCTATTACGTTTGAAAAAAACACTCATAAATAAAACAAAATATAATATATTAATAATAGAAAATTCAACATTTTATTTATTTAAAAAAATAATTTAGCAAACAGATGTCTAAATGACAGTTTGGAACGAAAAACGTATGGATAGCATACGGCGACGAGGCACAGCCGTTCGGCGGCTCGGCTGCTGAGATTCGAGCAATGATGGGGAAACTGTAGACGTCGCCTTCGAAATCGGATCGAAATGTGCAACTAATTCCGTGCGCTGATTTATATAATTGAAGAAAAGAAGAGCGAATAATCTTAGAAAAGATTGAAAGTTTTTTATTAATCATTTAATTTAAAAAGAAAGAATCTGGAAGGAGATCTCGCTTTAGATATTTGCAAGATTATTTTAGATAAGTATTAAATGTTTTTTACGTCTATTATTAATATTTTATTATAAAGGATCAATACTCTATGTTCTATTTTATTTTTAGTTAGCGGTGTTCGTTTCAACGCTATTAAAGTTGATAATGACATGTTTGGTGTAGAAACATGTTGGAGAACATTGTACATTTATTTTTATTTAACATAAGGAATTTAACGTAAAGAAAATGAAGAATTGCTTAGTAAATTAAGCAATCTCAAATTATGAAGAATTAAACTGAATTAAATTTCTTATGGTTCGTATTATTTACTGCTTAATAATAGTATAATTACGAAACTAATTTTTCAGATATAGAACATGGAAGTTTATTTTATACAAATTCACCAAATATTATAATTTACTCGATTAAAAGTAAAAATTTTTGCCAGTAATGCATTCCATTTCATTTCATAGATCATCGAAATTTTTTAATAAAATAAACATAATAAAATAAACTTCCAGTATCTTGTGTTTTTTTTATCGCTACAAATATTATATTAATATTATATTATATATTATTATTATTATTATTATATGTTATATTATATTAATATTATATTATATTATATTCTTCTTTTTTGTTCAAGTGCTACGCTTCATATATAAAAGATATGTAAAACTCCATCTTTTTCCTTTCTTTATATTGTACGGCAGGATGTTATCGACATTGATGTTTGGGTGGAACGAAAAAAAGGATATATTTTAATCGAAGGTATTTCTCATGTGGAATGATATTTTTCGCAATAAATTTCTTGAAAATTTTTAATTAGTATAGCAATATCATTAGATACAAATTATTAATTATTTATTATGTTTGAAAAATATAGTTCTGTCCTTGGCCTGTTACATACAAATCCGTTAAAAATAATAGCATATTATTAGCATATTATACAATATTAATAGCATATTATTGATAAAGATGAGGAAGATAAAATTAAAAGAGAAAATAGCAGTCTTTATATATGCAAATGATATAGTATTACTAATCGAGGATTTAAAAAAAAAGAGAAGTATATTGCTAGGGAAAAAAAGTTATTTAAATATGAAAAGATTAGTGTTATTCATGGTAATAATATAATCCTTTCTTTTTTATTGTTTCTCATCGTATATTTTACTTTTCATTTTTATCATCTTGCAACTTTTATAAAATTGAAAGATATCTCAAATCTTACAAGGGGAAGGAAGATAGAAGAAAGTAAGTTGAGGATAGAAATAAAAATAACTATATATGGTAAAAATGTATAAATATTTAAGGAATGTTTTGCGATGAAATAGAGAACAGCAATCAAACTGTGAAATAATAAAAAAAATGAAGATAAATAAAAGGCGCGCGCGTAGCGCGCGCTGCGTGCTAGTCCCTAATAAAAAAAATCCGTGTAGGACGTGAGAAGTGCGCGTTCGCGGTCGAATATATCGAAGGCATTGTTGCCTCTTTTTTGCGATGTTGATTGGCCGGTCGATGTTGACGATTGAGATCGTTTCAATTTCGCGGCGATGATAGTCGGTGACAGCTCGTGTCATGACGCGGGAGAGCGTATAAAAAAAATGTTAAAAAAGCGTTGAAAATATTTTTGATGATTAAAAAGAAAAGAATCGTTTGGAAAAAGATCTCGCTTTTCCGCGATGCCGATTGGTTCTCTTGTTGCGCTAATTTCATGAGTTTTATGAGTGGCTGTCATTAAGGAGATTTGACAGCTTCGTACATTAAAGAGATTAATTAAAAATGAAATAAAAAAAACAGAATGGACGAGAGAAGAAAGAAAAGACTTCTTCATAATTGTTACAGATAAATTTTAATGTTTTTATATTACAATCTCTCGAATTCCTCATTCCAGCATTTATAAAAAATAAAAAGCTGTGACTAATTATTATCATATTTTTTTATAAAATAATAAGTATGATAATAATTAATCACAGCTTTTAAAGTATTTTATAACAGTATTAGACAATTCATTAGAAAATTCCTTAAACAAACATCATAAACGTTTTATTTTTAAATATAACTTTTTATTTATATAATATATATATATATATATATATTTGATCTTAAGCGTATATATGTGCGTATGTGTATTGGATGCGTGAATAGTCGTGTCTAAAGTGTGTACCATTCATTCAGTTTAAAGAGATTTACATTATTTCATTTTATTCACAATCGACAATTAAGACAAATTATTTATACTACAAATAATGTTTTGTAATACTATATACATCTATATCTTTTATTTTTTTCTTCTACTCTTTTTTCTTTTTTTTCTTTTAACTTTTATCTTTTATAT